GAAGTTTCTGGTTTGCTTTCAAAAATTTTGTGGTTTGCATTGAAGGGTTTCTGGTTTGTTTTAATATATTTGTGGTCTGCATTAGGACGTTTATGGTTTTCTTTCGAAAATTTTGTGGTTTGCATTGTGAGGTTTCTGGTTTATTTTAATATATTTGTGGTTTGCATTAGAAGGTTTCTGGTTTGTTTTTTTTTTTTTTGTGGTTTACTTTTCCGTGTTTGTGGTTTGCATTAGGGTGTTTCTGGTGTGCTTTTCAAAATATTTATGGTTTGCTTTGTGAAATTTCTAGTTTGTTTTAGGAGACTTGTGGTTTGTTTTAGGAGGTTTCTAGTATGCTTTTTTTGTGGTTAGTTATATCGCATTTGTGGTTTACATTAGGAGGTTTTTGGTGTGTTTTAGAAATAGTTGTGGTTTGCTTTGTGGTGTTTCTAGTATGTTTTAGGCGATTTGTAGTCTGGATTATGAGGTTTCTGGTGTGCTTTAGAAACATTTGTGGTGTGTTTTATGGTGTTTCTGATATGTTTCAGGAGATTTATGGTTTACATTACAAGGTTTTTGGTGTGTTTTATAGTATGTTTTATTGGATTTATCAAAATGCCTCGGTCTCTCTTTCAGTGATACAGAAACAGTCTCGTTGAGTTAATTTTATTTCCCCCACAAATTATTGAAACATAACACATGGTTTCCATCTCCTTCATCAACATCATCAACTCAATCACTGCCAATCTGCCATTATGAAATGGTAATACATTTACACCAGCACTAAAACCCGAAATCTGAAAAGGTAGAAACAGTGAATTTTTGTTAGATCTCTCATCCAAATGACTCGTGACCATTGCTTTCTTTCTCTTGAATTAAGCAAAATAAATCATCCAAATGACTCGTGACCACAAGTGACAGAGGAGGAAGAAAACAATTGGGATTCACAGGATCAGCATCATGATCAACTTGAGCAATAAGCTGAGAGAGTTTGGTCAGATTCGTAGGAACATTTGCTGCCAGAGACACAACAGCTTGGTCTGGTAATGCATATCTTAAGCTCTCATCGTGCACCCGAGTCTGAAAGGAAGTCCATGCAAATTGGTTAGGTTCAAAAGAAATGATGCAGACTGTACCAAGAGGCATTTCATATGAGATGTTCAATACTTGAGTGTCAAATGTCAAGTGACCAAAGCGAGCTAAGCAGCTCATGATTTCGTATCACTTAAAAGTAAATGTGAAATCATATCAGGAAAAAAGCTATTGTAATTACACTATCCACTAATGCACTTGAAACGTTGGCCATAAGCAGCAAAGATAAGGAACAAGGCAGCCAACCAATCACTTCTCCAGAGAGCAAACAGCAAACAACGATTTGTAGTATGGATCGCTAGAGCTTTCGATGGCAAAATTTTCACAAGAGAATTGGATGGGAAAGGAGAAGTCAAGAGAAACATTCCCGCGGCGATTCTGGCAAAACTCGAGCCTTCACTTGTCGGATCTTCCTCACTGAGAAGCTCTAGCGATCTTTAGCTTCATGTGCGCTCGATTAATGTTCCTGTAGAGAAAAAGCCCTCGCCATCTCCTTCAGCTCGGCAGTCAGGGTCGTCGGATTCTGAATTCGAGATCCTCTTCAATATCCCGACCACCATATATGAAATCCAGATCCGGATTTCTGGATCCGCTTTGCTGGTGGTTGTGCATCAGTATGACCGCCACCAGGACTCCTCAACGGTCGTACGATGAGATCCGACGAGTTGCGGCGGAGGACGAAAAGGAGGCGCCGGTGGCTGTCAATCTGCATCTGACGAGCCTGTGCGGAAGAAGGTGAGATCTGAATAAATAGTATAACGACTCTGATGGCGGAATCCTGATAGTAGTATGCCATTTGGCGTCGCCGGCGGCGGGTCTAGCAGCGCGGTGGAGTCAGCGTAATGGAAGTCTCTGTGCTCGTCGTCGGCCGAAAATCTGGGAGATGCGCCGGAGGGGAGAAGAATCGAGTGGGGAGAGAGAAGGGTACGGGTGGGGTAATGACTCATTTAATTTTTAATTTATTACTTTTTTGAGTTTCCGTTTTTACCCCTGTTGTTACTCTAACAACACTATAAGTGTTGTTATGCTATCCGGAGCCCACGCGAATTAGGTAACGTAAACAACGGCTCCTCTCTTCTCGATAATCCATACATCAAGTTGCTTTTCTTACTTTTTATTTGGGTAAATTGTATGTTTGGTCACTGGAATTACTAAAAAGTGTTATGTTTGGTCACTACAAATATTTAATTCCATTTGTGATCACTAAGATTAGTTTAATAATTCAAGTTTGGTCACTCTCCGTTAAATTTATCTGATGTGGCAGTCAACTTTGATAGTTGACCGTTAAATGAGTGACGTGACAATTAAAAAATAAAAATAAATTAAATTTTAAATATTTATAATTTCCACCACATTTTTCATAACTAATAAAAAATAAAATCAAAAATCAATTTCTACACCTTTCTAACTTGTACTCCCCTCCCGTCGGATTCCTTGTTTTCACCCATAATTTGATCTCCGCCGACCTAGCTCCGACGGAAGCCACAAGAAAATCAATCATTCTCTTCTTGACCTCCTCCGACTACCACCGCAGAGGTCGGGAACTTCCTCCGTGCTCCTGGGCCACATCAAACTCATGAAATCCCCATCCCACCAAACTTTGATGCGCCTGGCCTAAAAACATGGTCCCTTTTTCACCCTCTGACTGGGGAGCCAGCTGAAGGTGGTGGTCACCTGGATCTCCTATTGCGACTGCTGGCAAACTGCAATCGAGGCTTGTAAAAGCCTTATTTATCAGCACCGTACTCGCACACCAAAACCAATCAAACCGGTTTTCCTTTTCTTTTCTCCGTTCCCATCTTGTCGGATTCTCTATTCAACCGTCGCGGCTCCGAACCCGGATTCCCATCTCCTCGTAACCCCAATAGAAGAACCCATCATCAAAACCCTATCCGAAACTCAGATTAAATGCCTCGTCTCGCTAATTGCTCCTACGACAAGTTCAACGATGTCATCGACACCGTCGTCGCCCTGCAGCAGGTACTCCTTTCCGCTTTTTGAACCTCATCACTTGCGGCAACGGGTCATATCTGGCCGCCGAAACTTGCCTACACTGATGGGTTTCCACTTCACTCCAAACTCCATGTGTTAATCGCAGATTATGGGAGCAGCAGTCACGCGGGGAGAGCGGATCTGGTGACTAAGGGGGGGTGCTTAGTCACTTGGCTAAGCCCCCCCTAGCCATTGGATGTAGAAGGATCAATCTAACGGTGAATATTAGGGAAGGGATTTTTAAATACTGGGAGGGGCAATTCTGGCATTAAAAAATTTTCATTAATTGCTTTTCGGCTAAATTACGCGTTTGGTCACTCAAATTATATAAATTTTTCACGTTTGCCACTCAAATTACGTTTCTTTCATATTAGCCACTAACTTTACAATTCGTTTCACCATTAGTCACCGATCGTTAGCCTCCGTCAGATTCCGTTACCACCGTAATATTTTTGATGATGTGGCAAACATAAGTTCTTACTGGACTGATAGTAAAACAAAACTATAAAAAATACCCGACCCAATTGTCGAAAACCAGGTTTAATTTTCTTCTCTTACATCTCGATCTTTGCCTTGCTTCTTCTACCTTCTGCCGACAAACACGACCATGGAGAGACAAGAGGGCTCGACGACTGTATCAACCAGTCGACCCTCCTCCGTTCTCTCTCGCCCTCTTTCTCTTTCTCTCTCTCTCGGGTCGGTAACCGGACTATGATTCAAAGGCGTATGTGGGTTATGGATGTTTGCCATCATAGACAGAGAGGTAGGAATCGCCAAGGCTTGATCCCTTCCAAGCCTCCACCGCGCCAAACAAAACACCATCCTCCACCGGTGTCCGTTGCTTTATCCTCTAAAAATAAGATGTTATTCCCTCTTTCTCCAACCTAATAGTAATACTCATCTGTCAACCCACACCATTTTCGACCACCTTCAACCACCATTTATGCCACCAGGAATGGCGAGAAGAAATAGAGATGAAGAATGAAGGAAGTAGGTAGGAATCAAAAAATGAAACTAATTAATTAGCCCTTCTCGCCCCTCTGTTTAGCTCTCTACAAAAAACACATTTTAGCACTAATTAAACTCCACAAGGGCGACGCATCTGGAGTCAATCAAAGTGAAGGTGATAGAGCGGCGGATCTGGAGACGATTGGCAACTCTTCGATTCCTTGTCATCTATGCCGGAAGATCTTAGGACGATCGGCATTTTAAGACCAACATGTTTCTTTTCCTCTTCTTTTGCTGCATTTAAGGAAGAGGGCCATAGAACGACGACGGCGGGGGCAAAGGCCTGCAGACAGAAGACGATCAAGGTAGGTTGAAGAAGGGAAAGGTGGGGTCCCAGATTTTTGTCTAATTTTTTTTCGATTTTTAATTTTGTTAAATTGACATGTCATTAAGTTAACGATCTAGTCAACATTTTCCTTTGCCACGTAAGATGGCGTTAATTCAGTCTGACGGAGACTAATTGTCAGTGGCTAATGGTGAAACGAAATGTAAAGTTAGTGGCTAATATGAAAGAAAAGTAATTTCGGTGGCAAACGTGAAAGATTTATGTAATTTGAATGACCAAACGTGTAATTTAGCCATTTCTTTTCCTTTTTATTCTGGGAAGGGGAAAAAATATCCGCTCTCGTTCAAACTCCTCCCGCGAAACGGCCCGGCGGCGTCCAAACTCCTCCCGCGATCGACGAGGCGATTCCGGCGAGCGGCGGGGCGATTTTCCTCCCGCGATCGACGAGGCGATTCCGGCGATTGGCGGCGCAGGCGATTCCAACGATAGGCGAGGAGATTTTCCCCCGCGATCGACGACGGCGAGTTGCGATTCTCCTCCAGCTATCGGAGAAGGCGTTTTTCCAGCCAACGGCGAGGCGTTTTTCCAGAGAACGGCGAGGCGATTTTCCAGCAACAGTGATCCCCGAGGCAAATTTCTTTGCATGATGGATTCTGCTCCGATAACAAAGGATGAAGTGGTTGATGGAGCTAATGAACAAAAAACGGGAGAAACTGGAACTGAAACAGCAATGGATGTAGATGTTCAGAAAATAACAGTACAACGTGAAATCGGTAATAAATCTTGTTTGTATTCTTAGTATGTTTTTCTTTTGATGTTTGTGTTCTTAGTATGTTTTTCTGCTCTGTTCTGTACATTTTGTATTGTAAGTCTTAATATATGATGATTGTTATGTTTGTACAAACAGTACAAACAGTACAAACTTATGGTTTATGCAGTTTGTACGAAATATCGTATGTCTTTATAGCTTTAGTGCATCAGTTTGTATGGTTTAATTATGTTTGTAATGTTACTATGTTAGTATTGTTGCTGTTTGTACTCTTAGTATGTTTTTCTTTGACAGTTTGTACTCTTAGTATGTTTTTCTGCTCTGTTCTGTTACTTTGTAATGTGGTTGTTCTGATATTGTAAACTGGTTGTTTCTGCAGATGATGAGATCAAAATATTACCAAGCAATGAAGAAACGTGGATGAACCTTCGCTTTGACACAAAAGATCATGGATTGCTGTGGTACAAAGGCTATGCACATGATAAGGGATTTTCTGTTAGAGAAACAGGAGGGGTTAAGAGAACAAGCAATAACAAACCGTGTGGAGTTGTAAGATATTTTGGGGGTAGATGCAATAAGGAAGGTTGGCGAAAAGGTAGTGCAAATAATCCAGCAAATGACGACCATGTTGACCAACAACCTAGAAGCAGAATCACCAAAGAGGATAGATGGGATTGCAAAGCAGTGATACGCTTCCAGCTTGAAGACAGTTCCCAAAAATACTACATTTCAAGCTGGTTAGACGAGCATAATCATAAGATGATCCCACCATCATCAAGACAATTCATGAGATCAAATAGAACGATGAATGAAGTGCAAAAGTTCTTGATTGACATGTATCACAAAGCTGGAATATCGATACAATCATCATTTCAAGCATTATGCTTGGCTGCCGGAGGAAGAGAAAATGTTGGCTTCACACAAATGGACCACAAGAATTATATCCGTACTAAAAGGTGGGTTTTGCACATTTTATAATCTTTTTGATCTGTTTTATATTGTTTATACTATTTGATTTCTGTACTTTGTATGTTTTGGTAATATTCTTTGTACTGTTTGTATACTTTGTATGTTTTGTCTAATCCTTTGTATTGTTTTTATACTTGGGGACTAAAAGGCAAAAAATAATGAAGTTTGGGGAGGCAACAATGATTTATCATCATTTCAAAAGTGAAGCTTCAATGGACCCAGCTTTCTTTTATGAGATCCAAGTTGACATCAATGAAGAAATTGCAAGTATTTTCTGGACGGATGGACGCATGAGAATGGACTATTTCTATTTTGGTGACACCATCAGCTTTGACACAACATACCGCACCAACAAGAATGCTCGCCCATTAGGTACTACAATTTTTTTAATTTTCACTAACATGTATGTTTGTAATTATTTTCTTCCATATTTGTCATGATTCTGTTGTTGTTTGTATTCTTTGTATGTTTACTGTTGCTGTTTGTATTCTTAGTATGTTTTTCTGTTACAGTTTGTATTCTTTGTATGTTTACTGTTGCTGTTTGTATTCTTAGTATGTTTTTCTGTTACAGTTTGTATTCTTTGTATGTTTTCTGTTGCTGTTTGTATTCTTAGTATGTTTTTCTGTTACAGTTTGTATTCTTTGTATGTTTTCTGTTGCTGTTTGTATTCTTAGTATGTTTTTCTGTTAAAGTTTGTACTCTTAGTATGTTTACTGTTGCTGTTTGTATTCTTAGTATGTTTTTCTGTTAAAGTTTGTACTCTTAGTATGTTATTCTTTGACAGTTTGTATTCTTAGTATGTTTTTGTAATATGTCAGTTTTGTTAAACCTCATTACTAATTTTAAACAAAATTTTCATTTCACCTTTATTTGTGGGCTTCAATAACTATAGAGAAACATGTGTTTTTGGTGCTGCCCTACTCTATGATGAGACATCAGCCACATTTGATTGGCTCTTCAAACAATTTCTCATTTGCATGAACGGGAAGGAACCGGGAGCTGTTTTTACCGATCAAGCGGCAACAATTGCTGCTGGTATTAGGACAGCATTGCCGCACACTTATCATGGGTTGTGCACATTCCATATAACAATGAATGCAAAGAGTAATGGGTTGTGGTGGTCACCATTTTTGGAAGAGCTTTCCTTCTTGATGTATGATTTGGAGACGGAGGATGAATTCGACTATTATTGGAAGAAAATGCTTGAGAATTGCTTCAATGAAGAAGAAGAAGAAGAAGGGAAGAAATTAACAAGTAAGATTGAGGCATGGCTGCAAAACCTCCACAAAGTGAGAAGTAAATGGTCATCGGCATGGCTGAAAGATCATTTTGCATGTGGAATGAGAAGCTCACAACTCAGCGAGAGTTGCAACAGCCATTTGCGTAAGTATCTCCAGTCAAAACTTACTTTGTGGGAGTTTTTTTATACAATTCAACAACCTTCTTGAAGCCAAAAGACATAAGGAGTTGAGAAGTGACTATGAAGCATTGAACACTATTCCATACTTGGTTTTCACAAACAGTGAGGTTCTTCAACAGTTTGTTACCAAATATACACAAAATATATTTGGGAACATGCAAGATGAATACTCCAAGTCAATCAAATACCATATACGACCAAACAACTCCAAGGATATAGATGGAATGTTTGCATATGAGCTTCACAAACTAGATCAGCAAAGAAATCCTATTGATAAGAGGATTGTTATGGTTGACTTTGTGGAGCGTAAGCTGATTTGCTCATGCAAGATGTTCGAGAAGTGTGGATGGCTTTGTCGCCATGTGTTGCGCGCAATAGATCACCTCGGCTATGGAGGACACCCAGAAATCTTGAATATTCACACACGCTACATATTAAAGAGGTGGACATATGATGCAAAATCTGGAGATTTCACACTACCGGCAGTACAAGATACAACAGAGAGGGTGTACTGTTCAAGGGTGAAACAACTTACTGGATCCATGAATTTGTTTTCAACACGCACTTGTATGGATGATGACATATACAAGATGCTTGAGGAAGGAATGCAAGCATTGAAGATTCGTGCTGAATCCATGATGCCTGCCATGAAGTTTGGCCAGCCTAGCACAAGCACAGGTATGAAACACTACCTTTAATTTGGTGCAGGTTTGAGGTTTGTAATGATATCACTTACTGTTTGTATCCTTAGTATGTTTTTTCATAACAGTTAGTATTCTTTTAGTTGATATTCATATCAATGACTGTTAGTAATGATATTAGATAAAGTTTGTATTGTTAATATATTTTTTCTGGTCTGTTTCTTTGTAGGATAAGTTTGGCTACAAAAACTTACTATTGTTGTTAAATCCTTTGTTTTTTCCCTATTCTAGAAGCAGAATTGAATCCAGCAAGTTCAGAGAGTGAACCGCATTGGGCGAAAGCATTAAAAGTCAGGACTGATCCATTTAAATCAAGGACAAGGAGGAAGAATCGAATTGAAATCATTCGAGAAAGGAGAAGACAAACAAAGTTACAAGAAAGGGCAACGGAAGGAAAGTAAATACATGATACCTGCCATGAAAGTAAATACAAGCAGCAGGTTTGTAATGATATCACTTACTGTTTGTACCCTTAGTATGTTTTTTCATAACAGTTAGTATTCTTTTAGTTGATATTCATATAAATGACTATTAGTAATGATATTAGTTAAAATTTGTATTGTTTGTATATTTTTCTGTTATATACAAAAACTGACTACTGCTGTTTAATCCTATTGTAGAAGTGGAAACAAAGTTACAAGGACAAGGAGGAAGATTCGTACAGAAATCATTCAAGAAAGGAGAAGACAAACAATGTTACAAGAAAGGGCGGATGACAGAATATAAATACATAGACAGAACTACTTGCCATATCATATATTACTTGATAGATACATAGATAAATTTGAGTGATTGCATAGATGCATAGATAAAGTGAATAATTGCCACATCAAACAATTCATTTCTTGCATTCTTTTTCAATTCACATTTGTATGTTTCTCATGCTTATTCTATGTTAGACAGAAACATTACGAAATAGGATACAAAAAATTACGAACCACAACAACAAAACATACAAACTACTGTGATAAAAGTTACAAAACCAAAACATAGATAGCAGCCACCATAACACCAACAGCCACACTACTGTTCATAAGGTCACCGCATTACAAAACATGAGAATAGAAAATGGTACTAGTGCATACTGTCATGGATTACCACAAAAAAAAACACTATTGGTTCCATATTCCATCATTTGTCAAGCGAAAACCCAGTACTAGAACTCCCTAATGACAACAACAATTCTTCACTAAAAGACACATTCATCCTCAATTGCTCGATCATCAAATTCCTTGATCCATTCAGCAAAGTCAGCATAGCATTAATCTTTCGGTTGTAAATATAGGTTGGAGAAGACCATTTTTCCCTCATCGTCTTTGTAGCCACACCTTCCCATTCTTCACAGTAGTTTAAACAGATAATGCCAGCACTAGTGAAATCATCATATGGAATTGTGATCCTTCGCCATTTGAAGTCATTATCAAAGTCATACTTTCCTGGCATGATGTGCTGAATGTAAGATGTTGCATACTGGACGACCAGCTCTCCAACCCTCCTAAACCGATCTAGAAAATGCTTAGAAGGAGAGCTGTCAAGGTACTCGAAACGACGATCCTTCAAGTTAACACAATATACCATGAAATGATCATCCATAGAACATGGGAAAAGCCACTGCACATGAAGAAGAAACAAAGAAGAATCATAAACAGTACAATCATACAAAGCAGAATTGTACAAAGTGTACAAAGTATACAAAAAATATGAAACAGAAGCACAAAGTGTACAAACAATATGAAACAGAAGCACAAAGTGTACAAACAATATGGAACAGAATCACAAAGTGTACAAAGTATACAAAAAATATGAAACAGAAGCACAAAGTGTACAAACAATATGGAACAGAATCACAAAGTGTACAAAGTGTACAAAAAATATGAAACAGAATCACAAAGTGTACAAAAGGATGAAATATTCCAACTTACATATTGGCATGTCTTGAAAGATGCACCATCTTGCAATGGGTATTTTCTGACATAAGATTTCATGACCTTCAAATATTTAGGTTCCATTTTGTCATTCACAACCTTGGACTAGGTACAATCAAAGACAAAAAAAGCTTGCATTAATATGGCTAATAGATACTAAATGACATACAACAACATGTGAAAATTAACTCACCGCAAAGTCAGTTGGAAAAGACCATCTACCAATAAATCCATTCTCACAAGAAGAAGAACGGTTGAAATTCTCAATATAGCAATCAAGAAATTTTATTGATAGAACAATCTTGTCACATGTCGTTTGGGTATCCTTCCTTGACAAGCGATACTCACCTTCACCCATGTCGAAAAGAATTTCATTCCTATCAATGTATACAAACAGTTTATATTAAATTCACTAACCGAAGAAGAAAAGTACAAACTGATATATAAATGTATACAAACAGTATGAAATGAAACTTACACAGGAAATCTGTCACTCCAAGCATATTGAATAAGTTTTTCTTCATACAATAGTTGGCTACTAGTCCGAAGTGGAGCTACCTTCTCTACCTTCTTGGAGGTAGGTTTTTTCTTTTTTTGCCGTATAGGAATAGGTGCTTTCATGGAAGGAGGTTTACGCTTTTTATTACCAGTAGTATATGGTGTCCTCTTTAAATTGGATGGCTTGAGCTCCCTTTTCGAGCGTCTTTGATTAACGAAATCAACATTCGACCCAGAATCTAACAAAATAGAGACAACACAAACAAAACAGACAAACATTACAAACAGCAGCAGAAAAAATAACTAAGTGTACAAACATTACAAACAGCAGCAGAAAAAGTAACTAAGTGTACAAACATTACAAACAGCAGCAGAAAAAGTAACTAAGTATACAAAAAGATTAAAACTGCAGTAAACGAGACTAAAGGACAGCACCAACTACAAACATAACGATTACCTTCGACGCCATTCTTGTTCTCATCTTCACCATTTGACTCATCTTCAGCGTTATCAATAGAAATATCATCACAATCATCTTCAATCCCAACCTCATCGTTATCATCACTATTCGACTCGTCTTCTCACAACCAAAACAACAAAGATGAAACAATATAGCACATTACAAAAGACATAAAGACAGAGAACTAGATAATTAATAAACCATAAGATCTAGTTTGCAATCCACAAGTAGTGTGCACACACAACATGTGTACAAATAGTACGACAAAGAGTACAAACCATACAAACCAATCATAAAGTGCATATTTAAAAGATGTACTACAAATTTAAATAACCACCATCATTAACTAATCAAGCTTGTCACCCCGCTCACCATCAGCACCTGCCTCCACAGATTGTGCAATCTGTAAAACAACTTCCATACTATCCTTAAGTGGCAGCTCCTCGGAAACTGCGGTTGGCACGACTCCATCCTCTGCTGGCTGCTTTTGAAGTGTTGAATCAAAGGGCTGCGAAACTGCTGGATCACGAGTAACTCCATCCTTCTCCACTGCTGGGTGCTGCATCACAAGTGCTGACGTCTTCTGGAACTCAGCTGGCTGCTGTTGCACAACTACTGGAGTCTTCTGGAGCTCAACTGGCTGCTGAGGAAGTGCTGAAGCACTAGCACTTCCACTCTTATCCAATGCTGGCTGCTGCTGCACAACTGCTGGAGTCTTCTGGAGCTCAACAGACTGCTGAGGAAGTGCCGGAGCACTAGGACTTCCACTCTTCTCCACTGCTGGCTGCTGCGGCACAACTGCTGGAGTCTTCTGGAGCTCAACTGGCTGCTGAGGAAGTGCTGGAGCACGAGCACTTCCAATCTTCTCCACTGCTGGCTTCTTCAGATTAAATAGAGCTACATCATCATCAGTTTCCTCCTCACTCCTATCTCCATCATCATCATCGTCACCACTCCGATCACCATCATCGCTCCCATCACCATCACTACCACTCCCACTTCCACTTCCACTTCCATTCCCATTCCCACTCCCACTCCCACTCCCACTCTGATACCCGCCTTCACTCTCACTCTCTACATTATCAGTTCTTGTAGCTTTCTCAACAACTTCAGCACCTTCAGAAACATTTGTTGTAACTTTCTCAACAAATTCAACACCTTCAGAATCAGTGTGCACCTCGATATCAGCTAGGTATAGGTGACACTGATTTATCTGTCTTCGGTACAGCTTACCTTGCTGTTCCAACTCACATAATGCACTTTGTAACCTTCTCCTAATCAACTTAACCTACAACAAAACAAATAAAAGAAAACACAAACATAAGTTAGATAATGTACACAAATAATACAAACAGTACAAAGTAATAGACAAAAACATACAAAGTGTACAAACAGTGCAAAAAAGATACAAAGTATACAAACAGTACAAAGGATGAGACAAAAACATACAAAGTGTACAAACAGTGCAAAAAAGATACAAAGTATACATACAGTACAAAGTAATAGACAAAAACATACAAAGTGTACAAACAGTACAAAAAAGATACAAGGTATACATACAGTACAAAGGATGAGACAAAAACATACAAAGTGTACAAACAGTGCAAAAAAGATACAAAGTATACATACAGTACAAAGTAATAGACAAAAACATACAAAGTGTACAAACAGTACAAAAAAGATACAAAGTATACATACAGTACAAAGGATGAGACAAAAACATACAAAGTGTACAAACAGTGCAAACAATACAAACTATACAGACAGTACAGAGGATGAGACAAAAACATACAAAGTGTACAAACAGTGCAAACAGTACAAAGTATACAGACAGTATAAACACTACAGAAACATATCATAAAGCATATAAAGCATATGAACAGACAGTATAAACTATACAAACTTACCTCTTGAACAGTTTTGCCATCCAAATTCAAATCGAAATCTGGAAATTCATCTCCAATATCAGAACCCTTCTCACCTCGAGCAACCTCAAAACCACTAATACTCTGAGCCATCTTCGGACGAGTAGTAGAAGAAACGGGTGCATCCCTTAGAACAAACACCTTACCATATTCCTTCCCAAACTTCTTCTCCATTTCTGCCTTCCTTTGCTTCAAATTTGTCGAACTCCACAACTGACAGGTTGGCACCAGATTACTAACACAGCAGCTGGCCTCTTCCTCATTCACAGTTGTCCTATCGAGGAAACAAACAAGCAAGAAATGCATATCTCCCTCAACCCAACTGTGACCCTGACTTGATGTCACCTTCTCAGAAATTAGACGATACACATAACCGCACCAATCATAGTCACAAAAATACTTAACCATTCCTTGAGAAAAAAAAGTCAAGTATTCTGTTGTCACCGTCCTAGATGTAACAGATTCGAAAAGGCGGCAAAAAATCATCAGCACGTACATATTCACCCACCTAGAATCAGACTTCTCCGCTCCCATACAAGCCCTCAAATTCTCAAAACCAACAGTACCCTTCCCAGTTTTACTGAAACCATAATCTTTACCAAGGTTAGAATTCACCTTTGATGTTTTCTGCAAACACACAGCATTTGGTCCCCTTGGAAGACCATAAATTCTGTAAACATCCTCTTCCGTAATACAAATCTTCTTTCCATCATCCAAGTGGATACAGTTATTCTCCCCATCCCACCTTGAAATAATGAACTTAATAAGTTCATTATCCAGATTCTTCATCTTCAGCGAAAAGACAAAATCCAAGCCCAGCTGCTTAATTAATTGCACCCTGCCAAGAGATAAAGGAGGCAGCACATGACTCCTAACCTCTTTCGGGCTGCATCGATAATTCAAGGCAGCTTCATTCCCTCCCCCCGGAGCTCGCTTCTGCCTTTTTGCACGAACTGCTGCCTTCTGCTTCTCTCCAGCAACAACCTTTCTTTTCCTTCTCCCTGTATCAGAAAGCTGAACTGCCTTCCCCTTATTCTTAAGATTCTCCCCCTTCCGCTTGGTTTTAGTAACTTCAGCTTCAGCAACATGGGTACTTGACCCTCCCACCTCTGAACCTTCTACCATCCTTACTTAACAGCTACAAAAGCAACAACAGAACAAGTCAACCAACAAATACAACAAACCATACGAAACAGAGTAATAAACTGTACAAACCGCACAAAGTGTACAAACTATATGAACATGAGAAACAAAGTGTACAAACTGTATGAACATGAGAAACAAAGTGCACAAACTGTACAAACTATATGAACATAAGAAACAAAGTGTACAAACTGTATGAACATGAGAAACAAAGTGCACAAACTGTACAAACTATATGAACATAAGAAACAAAGTGTACAAACTGTATGAACATGAGAAACAAAGTGCACAAACTGTATGAACCATGAAGAATACAAACAGAGGTATGAAAACACACAAACATTACTAAACAATCAATACAAGGAAACCCAGAAAGTATACAACCAACCCATTCCAACAATACAAACCAGAAATCAACCCACAATTAAAAATGTGATTCTGACCTAGCATCAAAATCGGTTAGGGTTTTAAAGAATTGCCGAAATAAGAAATGCGGGTTTGACTTACCCAAATAATCGCCGGCGTCGGCGCAGACGGAGAAGCGAGAAGAAAGCCTGCCGAGTTGAGCCCGACACACCGCCGACGCAAAAGGGGAAAAATGAAAAATGTCGATGGAAACCGCCGTCGGAGTCGCTGAAATAGAGAATGGGTGACTCTCGATGGAAACCGCCGGACGAGGAAGACCGCCGACGCAAAGGAACACAGCTCGAAAAAGGAAACCGCCGGATGAAAGCCGCTGTCCCGCTGAAACAACCGCCGACGAAGCCGCTGAAACAGAGAGCGACGCGCCGCGCCGAACGAGGAAGACTCTCGATGGAAACCGCCGCGCCGGACGAGGAAGAACGCCGACGCCGGACGAGGAAGACTCTAGACGAAAATGGCGATTCTGAGAAAATGGGGGAAACGGAGAAGAAGAAGTCTCTCTCCCGTGAAAATGGTTGGTGATTCTCTCTCCTCTCCCACGAACAGGTTTTATTCTGACATAAAAAACAAATTTTTTTAAAATAAAACCTAAATGACTAAAACGCCCCCGTCCCTACTGCTAGGCTATTCCGCCGTCAGATCTAAAATATAATCAACGGTTGAGAGAGGCTTAGTCTGATGACTAAGGCCCCCCCCCCCCCCCCCCCCCCCCCCCCCCCCCCCCCCCCCCCCCCTTATTCACCAGATCCTGGCCCTCACGCGGGGATCGAATTATGGGGGAAGGCAAGGAATCCGACGGGGGAGGGGAGTATAGGGGAGAAAGATGTGGAGATTAATTTTTATTTTTATTAGTTATCAAAATGAGGTGGAATTGTAAATATTTAAAAAAATATATTTTTTAATTGCCACGTCACTCATTTAACGGTCAATTATCAGAGTTGACTGCCACATAAGATAAATTTAACGGAGACTGACAGAGAGTGACCAAACTTGAACTATTAAACTAATCTTAGTGAACACAAATGGAATTAAATATTTGTAGTGACCAAACGTAACACTTTTTAGTAATCCCAGTGACCAAACATGCAATTTACCCCTTTTTATTTTGTTTTTCTAATTTTAAAAAGTAAATTGTAAAAAGAATAGTAATATTACTAATATATATGTGGCAAATTAAAATGTTTGAGTTCTTGCCACATCAACAAAAACTATCCAGCTCACATGATGCTTTGCCACGTTATAGTCAATTAACAGTTGACCGGACGGAAAGTTGAGGATTTGACTATTAAATTGTTTTCGAAAAGATTTGACTATTATCCTAATCCTAACAATACTAGAAGGAGATTCCAGGCCGAAACCCCTTAATATCCCTTTTCCTGCTCTATGCGTAATCCACGAAGGGAAAAATTTGTAAAAATGTATCTTTGACTGAACTGGCCAGGCCTGTTCTTTCTTTTCCCTCCAAACTTGGGACACGAATTTACTTTCTTCTTTCCCTTGTTGTCTCTTGTGCAAGGTTGTCAAACCGGTTTAAGTTATATATTGAGCCGGTCAAACAAGGAGTTTGAGGTTTAACGGTATGATTGAGGTCCAGCCGGTTTGAGCCGTTTTAGACGTTTTCTAAATATATATACAAATAAGGTAGTAATTAAAGATTTAATGAGTGAATAAAATTTATCTTACATATATCTATTAAAAAAATTATTTCAACAAAATAAATCTACCTAACCTCCATGATCCACCCATCATTTTCCTTCTTTCGTTCCTCTTCCTCTCTTCCCCCTCTCTTCTTCTCCCTGTTAGAGGTCAGACCAAGGGAATTTTCTGGAGGCCGTTTTGAAGCCCGATTAGAGTCGAATCGAGCCCAACCGGAAGTTCGATAAGGATTTAACAACCTTGCTCTTGTTTGTGCCGCCTCTCTCGCTGTCTTTATCTTAAAAAGTAAAAACTCTTCACTAAGCAGTCGGCACAAATATGAGATGCGACTCTAGCCACACTACTCCAACCCACTAGGCCACCACGTCTAGCCCTTCCTAATTCCCCTTCTGATTATTACAATTTCTAACTCCAAAAAACTCATTCTTATTCTTAGACAATTGGATGCATTTTTTTTGTGTGGGTATTTTGGCATCGAAACATTATTACTGTAAGTATATACTATGTTACCATAAAAATGTAAGTATACACTCTACTCAGTGTTTCATAATTGCCTTCTCTCCAATAGACGTAGTAATCCATACATTGATTATTGGGCAAATATTATTTTTTTGTCAAACCTTTCACCGATTTTAAAATATTATCCAAACCTTTGAAAATACGAAATATTAGCCAACGCTTTCATAACGCTACAAAATTATTGCAATTTTCCATTTAACTTAACAGAATTACATGTAAGCTAATCGTCATTCCACGTGTTTGACACATCAGCATTATGTCAATTAAAAACTATATTTTTTAAGATTTAAAAGGGAAAATACTATTTTTTTAGTCAAACATTTAATGGATTATAAAATATTAGCCAAACCTGAGAATACGATATATTTAGCCAAACCTTTCATAATCCTACAAAATTATTAGGAGTCATCCCTCAGTGTAAGCTGGAGCTTGTAGCTGAGGGATAAAGAACATTAGCAACAAAACTTACAACAGGCAACAAACATACAAAAAATGATACATAGTCATACTTGACGCGAGTTTGTTCCTCGTCCAACTGCCAATCCTTTGGACACCAAAACGTATCATCACGACGCTTCGAAACAGCCCTCGAACATAACTTGCATGAAATATAATACCAAGGTGTGCTTGACTCGACATCAACAATCACTCCACCACGGCGGTACTTCTCTTCCTACCAAAGAAAAGAAGGGCAAGTTATGTCCAAACACGGGGAAAATAATAGCAATAAATTTTTTTAGAGGAATACGTAGTACCAGTGAGGAATTTGTTCTGGATAACGCCAGCAGCTGGCTCAAAGTCCTGGTTTGATGATCTGCATTAGCTGTAGCATCAGCAGCAGTAGCAAACTCAACCGGCAAGGATTCAACAACCTCATGTTTCTCAGCAAACCTAGCAGAGATCCAAGCACCATAATTTCGACAACATAGGAGCCTTGGCAAAAAATGGACCACACAAACAGTACACAAAAAATCGGCAACAACCCACAACTAACTTACCTAGATGCCAGAAAATAAGCCTTTGGTACAGGAGGATTGACTGATATGCGAGTAGCGGCAAAACTTGACAGAACATAATCATATGAAAAGTAGAAGAAAAGACGACAAAAACTATAACATGCTAATAGACCACACTCAATCTAATGAAAACGTGCATGCAATAAGGAAGCAACAACATACCTCCCATCTTATTAACCAGCAAGCCGCCAAATGCCAAAATCACAGCTTCAATCGAGTCCGCCTGAGTGAGAGCAACATGATCCAACACCGCAGAAAACTCATCCCAGAGCGTAATCGAGACCTTCGCTCCACTGAGAAAAAAAACAGGGACACGTAAGAGAAACAAATAACAAACACGACACACACAGCCGAACTCATAAACCCAGAAAAGCGCAAAACACCTTTCATCCTCAACTATAACCGTCTGCTTGACTGTAGGCCCGTTATTTGTGATCTTGTGCGATATCCCGCTGATCGAACTGAGTCGGCCAACGACATCTATGAAAACAATACAGAGGTAAAATCTTAGTAAACAAACAACAGATATATAAGCAAAGCAAACCTAAAAAAACAAACCTGCTAACCTGTCAAATAATGATGGTTACCGGCACGCATATTCAATTGAGAGAAAGCCACAAACTCGTAAGCATCAAGTGGGAAACTTTCAGCAGGAAGAACACAGGGCTGAAAAGAAGTCGAAGGCGAAAGACCCAAAGCCAAATCAAAGGAACATGACCGATACTGATTCGGCGGATTGCTCAGGGCAAAAGACTTTATGACATATATCTTGCCAACCGAGAGATTACGACGAATCCCAGCAGCCATTGAAGTTGGCGAGACGCCCTGTATCAGCATACCCTGCGCAAAACACACCAACCTGGCGCATGAACAAAACGAAGGGGGGGGATAGCAAACGGGGGCAGAAAAGAAAAGGCGAGCAGGACAGGAACCTAACCGTTTCGTCGACCCAAAGAGTATAGTAATTGTAGATCCTAGTGTCCCCTGGAGACTTCGCCGACCACACATGCAGTAGTCGGAGCCGCAAAGAAACGCTGGCATTGCGCGGACCTCCGAGGTTACAAAGCAGCGTGAACTCCATGGTTTGGAAAAAGAAGAGCACCAAAGAGAGAGGAAACAATTTTTTGAGAAAGAGAACAGAATGACAGTAGGGAAGTTTCGGCGCTCCGAAAGAGTAAAAAAATGAAGGAAATAATGAACTGGCGCGAAAGTAGTGTATGTCAGTTACCGGTCCAATGACGGAGAGAAACGTAAAAAATGGGAAACGGCACTGTCATTGACAAAAAGATAAGGACAACGTAAAATCAAGGAACCGCCAATGAAACCATAAAAGGCAATGTAGGGTTTCCGGTCGCCGAAGCGGCGGTTGTCAGATATCAGGCCAAACCCAAAGGAAACCGCTCCCCCCAAAGCCCAAATGCAAACCGCTGTGTATAAAATGGCGCGCCCATCATTGGCCGAAATTCAGAAAGACAAGAAAGAATGCCCACGTGCAAGAGAGAAAAGCAAAGAAGTGTGCGTAATAATTATATATGCGGCGGCCTCAGGGAAAACGATAGAGAGAAGCAGAAAACGCAGGGAAAATGAGCGTTCATTTGAGGGCAACGCGACACACACATGAACAACAGAAAACAAATAAAAAACCGGCCCCACACACAGCTGAGCAGCCAATAAGAAAATGCGGCCGCAGAGCATGGACCAATCAGGGAAGGATGAACAGTAATTTTGAGTCCAAATGAATAGTAAATTGTGTCTAGGTGAACAGTAACCGTGTCTTTGCAAATAACTTGTTCTAATGCATGCATGGTACGATGAACGATCGACCAAGCCTTGTTCCCGTCTTCGTCGATTCTTGTCGTCAACTATACATATAGTACTTTGTCATGAACTTCTCTGATCGAATTGGTCGGTTTACTCTCCTCTTCTCTCCATTCGGCCATCGATCCTGCAACGCCGACTTCCTTCTAGACGAGCATAAATTAAATTGGATGGTTGATGCGACTTTGGATCCAAGTTTAATTTGTTGCAATTATGAAATCCTCAAAGCCTTCGCATAAACACAATCCTCCATTTCATTCAACTAGTGATGCATGCATTTTGGCTCTATGGAAAAGGATTATATTGTATCCCTTCCCCAGGGTTTGATGAGGGAACGTTAATTTAAATTATTATGGTGGATATCATTCAAGTGTATTGGAAGTGCAACAATTGCTTGGTAAAGGATTTACCATCATAGTAAGTTGAATATCTCAATCTATTTCTTTTCAGCATTGACTACTAGTTATTCTGTTTGTTTTAGTTTTGATGGTATCACAAGGATAGAGTTTGCGAAATGTTTTTTAGTTATTTCTTACATGCACAACGTGTTTGGTTAGGCTTTGAAATGTAAACTTCTTAATTTCCCCTTTTGGTTATCCCTTTAGTCAATCGTTTTGCTTCATCACTATTGTTATTCAATCATAGCCATGGTTTTTATTTTGCGGAATTAAATAGAGATCAAAATGACACAATAATTTTCAGTCATGGGTTGTTAAGTTCAATGTTTCATTCTACTCTCCATATTTGCTATATCCTTCAGTAACTTTATTTGTTAGACAAGGCTAGGTAGCAATGGTTTGTATTATAATCCTTGAGCTGCAGTTGGAATTGTGAGTTGTTTTACTGATGTTACGTTTTTGTTTTCTTTTTCAATGTTGTTGACTGCCCCAAAGATGAAGGCAACAAGCACTATTGGAACTTCCTTTATGAATGGGTTGCAGTAGATCCTTCAACGATGTAAATATTTTCATGCAAATTTATAATAATCTTAATTTGGATGTTGTACTGAGTGAACCATATTAAGGTCCTATAGAGGTTTTATCCCATCCCAAACTTTGTAGTTTGTTACCATTTCAATCATTAAAACAAAAGTTCATTGATCTCAAGGGACTTTGTACTTTGTTACCATTAAGATATTACCATTAAGATAATTTCAATGGAGTTTATTGATCCGAAGGATACCATGGTATCTTTCCAATATTACAACTCTATTCACTACTCTTGATGTTTGGAGCTTTAGTCATAAGTCATCCTAATGGAATCAATTTAAGTGATGAACTGAGTTATCCATTATCCAACAAAAAAGTACACGATCAATAAAAATTTATTATGATATCTTGAAGAGTAACAAACTTAAACAATTTGTTTCTCATTACACACTTCAAACAAGATACAATAACCCCTAACTAATCACTATATTTTTATAAACAAGAACGACACTGCTAATGATGCAGATAATGGATTTGGTACGAGAGATAAGGTTGTTGTTGAGAAGAGGAAATACATTGTTCATTATCAGAAAGATATAAAGATTGGGGATGGGGAGAAAGAACAAATCATGGACATTGTTTATACTTTGGATGAGGTAAATTCTACTCCAATGAAAAAAGATGCTTCGTATTTGTAAATATTTTATCATCAAATTTTATTGCTCAATGAAATGAAGACAAAAAAAAAGAAAAAATTATTCAAAGGCAAGAGAAGAAGTAAGAGGCAATTGATGATGTAGATAAATGTGTCACTAATGAGGATGAAGACATTATGATTAGTGGAGACGCTGATGTTGTCCATGAAGAAAACGTGCAGTAATCTTTAGATGATGAGGAGTAAATAGAAGAGTCATTTTAAATTGTCTTTAGGAGTCAGTTCACTTGTATTGAGGTTTTCTTTCATTTATGTGTAAAAGGATTTTATTCGAGTAGTCATTAAAATGTCTAAGAACAGTATGATGTTGATCCTTTTAAATTGTTGATAAATTTCAATAATTAGGATCTTATTCTACCAATAAATTTGAATGTTTAGAGTATTTGATTAATTAAAATTTTCTTATACTAATGTGTAGCTCGGATACAAATTGTTATTAGTATTTACATGATTGCCAACTGACCGAGTTCGTAACTAATTTTGTTTAAAATGAAAGATTTGACTATTATATTGGGTTTACCCTTAATTGAATTATAACTTGTTATATTTTTTGTTTTCCCTTTCTTCCTTCCCTTCGCCTCCTCCAAATGAGAGCTTTTTTTTTTTTTTAACAATGAAAGGAGAGCTTTCTCATCCTACACCCTTCATTCGACCAAAAGCATAAAAATAATCAGAGGCCGCTCAATCCGCCGCCGGCCCACACAATCAATTCGCTCATCGGCCCAATCCGCCGCCGGACTTGTTTCTTGCAAGCTGGTGATGAAGTACAGCGCGCCTCGGCCCACGATTTTTATCCTCCTTGTTAGTAAATGATGGTGGCACAAGATTTTTATCCTCCTTTCTAATAAACACAATTAACAACGAAACTTAATGAACATAAATATTATAATTTATGTGAATTTTCATTATAAAAGGTCCATGACATCACAAAATTAACTCGAGCATGTTCAAAACTAGACCACACCAAGGGACGGGCATGTTAAAAACAAGAAAGAACCGTGGGTCGAGCATGTTGAAAACATGCCGAGACAGGAGGACGAGCATGTTGCGAGCATTCCTGGAGGATGGAACGGGCAGGTTGACAACGCGTCCGTTCCATGGCTGACGCAGGGTTTCAACATGCTTGACCACCGGTCGAGGCAGATTTTCAACATGCTTGACTTGTTTTTCAGAAGAAAAAAAAATTGCAAACGAAATCTTACCTTTAGTCCGAGTCCCTGCATGTTATGACGATCGAGACCGACTACTTCTCTACCTCCGGCAAACTCGCCGGAATCCGGCGAAAATTTATCAATGTAGAAGATTGTAGTTGGATTTTGTGTTGTATGGTTTGGTTTTAATTTTTGGTTTGATATTTTTGTTTTGTGTTGGAAGAAAGAGTTAAATGGGTTGGGTTAGATGGTTGGAGCATTAATTCTAGGTGGTTGAACCATAAAATTAAATGAAGGGTTGTTTTGTAAAGTTGTATGGTTTAGGGCGACGAAATTTAAAAATTTAGGGCGACGAATAGTAACTCTCATAAAAAAGCCGTAGCAGTTGACGCCAAAGCTTTCCATCGCAACAGTATCCCCTCACTGGTCATCAACTTCCCCCCACCGTAGTCCTCTCTCTTCCATTCCATTTGGAGAAGCACATATCCCTCCATTTCTCCTCTTCTTAATCAAGAGAATCACATAGATTATGGAATCAATCAATGGCACCTTCGATTTCCCCTCCTTTACCACTCCTCTAAACCGCATCGGCGGCGGGGCGGTGGACAACAACTGAGGTTTCTGGAAGCCTTCGATTTTCCCTTCTATTCGCCTCCTTCGAGTTGGAAGGAAGAGTCTGCGTGTGAGGAAAGATGAAACGCCGGGAAGGAAGGGTCTGCCTTTGAGGGAAGATAAAAGAGTCCCGAAATAAGAGAGTCGTCTCTTGGCTGTCAATACCCGTCTCGAGCTAGGTGATTATACACTGAGAAAAGGTTGAGAATCTGTGTGTGAAATCAGTTCCTTGGTTCTTCAGCCGCGGTAATAAAAACGCCCTATACAGTTTATTTTCTTAAAATTTCAATTGCATTTTCTATTTTTCTGAATCTGGGTAGCCTGATAATGGGGACATAGCATCGTTGTGAATTGGTGGCTTAGTGTAGTGAAAACAAGGATTTGAACCATTGCCCAACATACTGTTTATATGCATGGATAGTGATCAATTTTAGATATATTAAGCCCAGGGCCAATTTTTTCTTCTATTCATATTCATGAGCTTTATAATGTGGCGAAGCATACTTCTGAATTGATGGTGTAGTCCTGGATGTAGAAGAATTTCAGATATGCCATGGGTGGTTTTCTTGGTTTATTAGTACATCTCACTACTTTAACTTAGGTAGCAGGTAGAAGAATGGCGCGATTGAGCAAGAAGAAAGAAGAATGTAAACAAAACTACAAAAGGTCCAATTTCAACAACAACGGCGGAACGCGCAACCTCCGGTGTTATGGTATTGGGATCGGTTCTTCTTTCCCCAAGGCTAGGCGGGCGGAGGTGGTTGCCAAGATCAAGCCGGGAGAGGGAACAGAGTCGCGGGGGCCTTCTTCTTCTTCTTCTTCTTCCGCAGGTAACTGTATATGTTTCTGTTTATATTGTGGACTTTAATGATGAGATTTCTCCATTTTCTGGATTTAGATGAATTTTTAGATTCATTGTGAAGGTGGGGTAGTACAAATTGATTGCCAGATTGATTAAATTACAACAAGATTATGACTTTTGGAATCCCCAATTTGATTGCCGGTTCTGAAAGCCTAGAATTTTAGTAGTATTTTAGCTCACTATTTCATTACAAGTTCAAAGTTCCTTAACTCCGAATTTCTATTATGTGATGGAGGTTTCTGAACTCACAGTTGTGAGTATTAATTCATGCTGGAATGAGGCTGGTTTTGGGGAAGTCATTGTTGCTTACTGCATAATTCCTTCCGGCTTCATGTTAGTGTACTCATGAAACTGAAGAGTGGGAGTTAAAACTCCATGTATTGTTGTTTGGTATGATTAATCAGCAAGAATCAAATACATGTGGGAGTTTAAACTTCTTATCGAGTTTTGCATAAATCTCCGTTTTAGTGTATGAGTGGGACTTTAAATTATGTTTTTTTTTTATGTCATTGTCATCTGCTAATCCTTATAATTTTTGTTAACTTTTTTTTTGTTTACAACGTAGTGCATGTGCTTCTATTGAAGTTAGTAAATCAGATCTGTTCGTCCACCAGTTGTGCATGCAGGCACAACAATATAGCTCTTGAGCCATGACTCATGACAATATAATTGATAGAAATCGCCAGGTTCTTATCAATTCTACACTTCGGCCTTCATTGATGCGTGCAGGCTTCTCTTACTACAAAGGTATTGAATTTTATTTTACCGTCAATAAGCATTACGATAATTTCCTCTCCTTTCTCTATTTATTCCTCATCAATAATCTCCTCGGCTGCATCTTATTTGTTCCTTTGTTCTTGCTATAAATTTACTATGTTTTTCTTCATAATTAATCGTGTGATTCATATTTAGCTATATTTAGTTGGCTTGGCCAATTGGGTGGGTTTGAGTTTTTGTCATGTTTCAAGTGTAGTGGTTGAATCAAGGGAAAGAGTTGAGTAGTGATCATCTTCCTCCTTGGTGACTTGGTGCGAAAGATTGGACGGGAACACCACAAAAGGTATACCATTAGGATGGCAATTTCGACCTGACCCGATTTACCCGACCTGTTTGACCTGTTTTGGGGCGGGTTCAGGGCGGGGCGGGCATGGGTTCCTCTCATTGACCCGACCTGCCCTGACCCGCCCCATTCTCGACCCGTTCTTGCCTAAATTACATATAATATTAGTTAAATTACTTAAGATTTTCTTCTTATTACATTATATTTTAGCTATAATAAAGTTATAAATAAGTGAAAACCTCAATTTCTTCAATAATTTAACTACATTTTATCATATTATGGTTTCTTTCTTGCTCTTTCAATGAAAAGAACGAATATTTCTAATGTTTTTCACATAAATTACATACCCAATGGGTCAACCTGCTCCGACCCGCGCCCCGTGATAAATTACCCGACCTGGACCCGACCTGCCATGGGGTGGGTATGAGTATCGAGATACCCGCCCCGGACCTGCCCCATTGCCATTCCTATATACCATTCAGCGTGTTCGGCCGTCTGTCAACTTAGGTTCGACCTTGGTTTTGGTTAACCTTCTACTTGCTTTCTGTTTTTTTAGAAGGGCACAGGCTACTCAATTTTCAACCTCCATTCCGTTGTGTTTGTGTTTATATAAGATAATTTCACGTAAGGATCAATTTGATTGATAGATGTATCAATTTTTAAGTCAATATATCACCTCTGGTTCGATTTCATCACACTCAACTTTGCGCACAACAAGGTTATCAACCCGCGGGTTGATCCGGACCTGGTCGAGCTAGTGGGTCAAGGGTTAATGGGTCAACCGTTTTAGCCCGGTTTGGCCCGAAAATATGGAAAGAGTCATTATATTGTACTTTTCTTTATAAATTATATCAAATCTTATCGAACATATAAGTTATAACATATAATATTACACCAAAATAACATATCGTACTTAGATCTAGCATGAAGTGAAAATTCACACACACTTATATACATCAATATTCAAATATTCAACTTAGGATTCCAAAGTTTGAGTTAGGCGAAAAGAAAAATCGGAAAATATGCGCATTTCGCAAACCAAAGAAAAAAATAACACAATTTGACCTTCAACCCGGTACCGTATAGCGGTCGACCCGACGGGTGTGTGCGGCCCGTTTTTCTCACCGGGTCAGGATCAAAGTGGGTCGACCCGCGGGTCAACCCACGGGTTGACAACCTTGGCGCATAACCAAACTTGCACCATTGTACGTCGGTGTCTTTTGCCGAACGTTAATTAAGAGACTCTGAATGCTTTCAGTTCTCTTTTGTCTTTCTAAATATGTTTGTTACTGACTCTTATGGTGTGGGTTGTGTTTATAGGTGTTGGAGTTAGCATTCAGCTTTTCCTTACTTGGTGTGGCAATCATCCAGGTTGTGGGTTCAAGTGTAAAGCAAAGTACTCAAGCATCAAGGCCTTCCGTATTAGATCCGAAAAAAGTCGTCTCACTCAACCAACCATTGCTACTGAAAATTCTGCATCCCTGCAAACACTAAGTGGAGGTACGCTTCCCTCTGATTCTCCGATTTTTTTTTTCCTGTTAGGTTCTGGGAATCCTGATAAACATTTAGCTCCCTGATGATTTGCTGCTGGTGCTTTGTTGATTCATAGATAAAGGGAGAGGCAATCTATACAAATTTAGATTGTGCTCTTTGTATGAGAATGGTGGCAAACAAATAATGAATATGCACCACAACTCCTGTTTTGTATCTCTATAGTTAAATCTTCTTGATGGGTGCTGAAACTAATACTTGCTGGTGTGTGCATGATGAATATGGCATAAGTTACTATGGTTATCAGAATTCTGCATTCTAATCAAAATAGCATATGCTACTAAATATGATATGTTATTTCTAATAGTTGCTTAGTTCTTGCCTTAACGAGAATGATGCATATCCTCTGCCATTGTTTTGAATTTTGATTTGTCTGTTAACAATGATTCAGCAACCGAATGTGTAGCTATAGATTAAGGCTTACAACGACCAGGTAACTCGCAAGATTGTTTCCTCTCCTGTCTTATTCAACCTTTATTTTATTGTGATGTATAACCGTCAAGTTTTATGTATCTATTTCCTTTTCATTTTCAAGTATTGGCAGTTTGAGCTAGGGCTGAAAATTTGCCTGTCCCGTCCCTGTCCCTGTTTGACCCGTGCCTGAAGGGTCAAGATGTATAACCGTCCCGTCCCTGTCTCCTTCTTGACCCTGTCTGACCCTCAAGGGTTGGGACGGGACGGGCCGGGTCAGTGGGTCGACCCTAATCAACACACTATTTTTTTACAAATTACGTTTTGGTACCCAAAATTATTTTTTCTTAAAATTTAGTATCTAAATTTTATTTTTTTTCAAATAAGTTCATAAAATTTGATGGTAAAATTACGTTTTGGTACCCAATTTTTTAATTATTTTTACAAATTAGTACCTAAACTTTTAAAACTTTACAAAAAGGTCCAATGAAGTATGAGATATTTGTTGTTGCTAAGAAATTGAATCCTTATTTTTAGCTAGAAATACAGAAAGGGAGAGAGAGATAGGCGGTGGCGAGCATTGCTCTCGTAGAAGATAAGTTGAAAAGTAAGTGAAAAGTTTAATGTACAATTTTTTGTAGTGAAAATAGAGAGGAAAAACTAACTACAATGCAATAAGATATTGTCGTCCATCTAGGATGAACTAATCAATAAAAATATCTATAAACTAATTACCCGTAATATAACCAATAATGAGTACCATAAATATTACTTTCAAATCATTTAAAATAGAAATATTGGTAAACATAAACAATACAAAATGAAATGAAATGCATCCGACCAACGGTCGGGTACAAGCTAGTTTCATGGAATTATAAGAATTAGAAAACTCTAATGATGTAGAGTTATGCATGTGAGGGTGATATTTGCCTACTTATAAAACAGAAAAACTAAATCCCAATTAAATCCTTGGTTATATAACAACTTTTGCAGGTTCATCATTCCTAAGTAATCATAAAGTGTAACGAGCCCGAGCCCAAGCTCTTCTCTATTCTGAATTGTGGACAACTTTGCAGGCCCATAATTCTTATGATAATTGCAATGAGCCCCAGGCCCAAACTCGAAATAAAATGCCGTGAACGTGGATTGAACCTGCAAACTTTAGTTCTTCAATTTGACCTTATCCCAAGTCCCAACTGAACCATTCCTATTACTATTGATTTTTCATATCAGAAAGTCATAATATTCATTTGAGCTGGCTGGACAATAATGTAATAGATGCTAGTGTATCAGTTTCAACCCTGGTCAAAGGTTCCGTTTATGCGTTTGAGTTTGATCTCTCATGGGAGAGAGACATCACTCATCAGTTAATAACAGATCCTGTTTTGTAATAACTCTTTCAATGAGCCCTTCTAGTGTGCTCTATAGCACCCATGCTATAAAAAACAAAAAAAAAAGGTGAATTGTTGAGGAGGTAACTCACTAAATGACTGGTCCCACATCATTAATGGCAATCTTGTAAATAATGAATCAATGTATACAAGTGTAGGTACAAATTAGAGTTGTACCATATAGTATAGGTACAAGTTTCAGCTGTACCATTGAAGAATTTGTTTCATAAAGTGTAGGTACAACTTAAAGTTGTACCATTTGTATAGGTACAATTTTTAGTTGTACCATAAAGGGATTTGTTAGAAAGTGTAGGTACAACTTAAAGTTGTACCATGGTATAGGTACAAGTTTGGGTTGTACCATAAAAGAATTTTGAGAAAGTGTAGGTACAACTTAAGGTTGTACCTTTAGTATAGATACAATTTTTAGTTGTACCATAAAGAGATTTGTTAGAAAGTGTAGGTACAACTTAAAATTGTACCATGGTATAGGTACAAGTTTGGGTTGTACCATAGAAGGATTTTTAGGAAGTGTAGGTACAACTTAAAGTTGTACCATGGTATAGGTACAAGTTTAGGTTGTACCATAGAAGGATTTTGAGAAAGTGTAGGTACAACTTAAGGTTGTACCATTAGTATAGGTACAATTTTGAGTTGTACCATAAAGAGATTTATTAGAAAGTGTAGGTACAATTTAAAGTTGTACCATTAGTATAGGTACAATTTTGCGTTGTACCATAAAAGGATTTGTTAGAAAGTGTAGGTACAACTTAAAGTTGTACCATGGTATAGGTACAAGTTTGGGTTGTACCATAAAATAATTTTGAGAAAGTGCAGGTACAACTTAAAGTTGTATCATTAGTATAGGTACAATTTTTAGTTATACCATAAAGAGATTTGTTAGAAAGTGTAGGTACAACATGGTACAACTTTAAGTTGTACCATAGAAGGATTTTTAGAAAGTGTAGGTACAAATTAAAGTTGTACCATTATTATAGGTACAATTTTTAGTTGTATCATAAAGGGATTTATTAGAAAGTGTAGGTACAACTTAAAGTTGTACCATGGTATAGGTACAAGGTTGGGTTGTACCATAGAAAGATTTTTAGAAAGTGTAGGTACAAATTAAAGTTGTACCATTAGTATAGGTACAAGTTTGGGTTGTACCATAAAGGGATTTATTAGAAAGTGTAGGTACAACTTAAAGTTGTACCATGGTATAGGTACAAGTTTGGGTTGTACCATAGAAAGATTTTTAGAAAGTGTAGGTACAAATTAAAGTTGTACCATTAGTATAGGTACAAGTTTGGGTTGTACCATAAAGGGATTTATTAGAAAGTGTAGGTACAACTTAAGGTTGTACCATGGTATAGGTACAAGTTTGGGTTATACCATAGAAGGATTTTTAGAAAGTGTAGGTACAAACTAAAGTTGTACCATTAGTATAGGTACAAGTTTGGGTTGTACCATAAAGGGATTTATTAGAAAGTGTAGGTACAACTTAAGGTTGTACCATTAGTATAGGTACAATTTTTGGTTGTACCATAAAGGGATTTGTTAGAAAGTGTAGGTACAACATTAAGTTGTACCATAGTGTATAGGTACAATTGTGAATTGTACCATAGAAGATTTTTAGGAAAGTGTAGGTACAATTTTAAGTTTAGTGTAAAGGTATAACTCTAGAAATTGTAGGTACATCTTAATTCCACGGCTGTTATTTTGACAGAATGAGCTGTGAGAACGTTTGAGTGGTAGTTGTGTGTTTCAATTGAATGTGAGATTTTGACGAGCGTGACAATGTCAAGTAGTAGCCGTGAAATTTTTTGGGATAATGAGAACTGCTCTTTGCATCTCACGGGACATCTCACGGCCGTGATATTTGCCTGAGGAATGAAGCACTGCTTTTTACATCTCACTTGAGTATTTTACGGTCGTGAGATTACCAGTATAAGGTGTCAGATTTCCAGTAGGAGAATTTCACCTGTTGAACTATCCCGTGTACTTATTATAATGGTGTTTCAAACAGAATGGACTTTTTTTCAGAACTTCAAACTTATGAAAAAGATGATTCATAATGTTCTCTAAACCTTGACACGAGCATTACATAGATCCATTCACAATGTTCTCTAGTAACTGTACATCATATCAGATGAGATACCCTGTTAACAAAAAGTAAAAAGCAGTCAAAGCATTACATTTGTCTAATAAAACAAGCATCCATAACACGATTAAATCTGTCTAATTAATGCTTAAGTTTAGCTGCATATAGCCCACACTAGTGCATCATCATATTCTAATTGGAAAACATACAAGCACAAACGCAAACACACATAGCTAAGTACTAAGGACTTTGGTTGGCTCATCTTCACTGCCCATCTTCCTCGTCAGTGTTCTCGTCCTCGTCTTCGTTTTGCTGGATTTGCTCATCTTCATTGTCCTCGCTAGAGTCACTGCCCTCTTCCTCATTGGTCCCTTTGTCCTTTTGATTTCTTTCCTTGTTTTGTTCATCGCCATTGCCCTCGTCGTCCTCTTCACTGCCCTCTTCCTCATTGGTCCCTTTGTCCTCTTGATTTATTTCCTTGTTTTGTTCATCGTCATTGTCCTCGTCGTCCTCTTCACTGCCCTCTTCCTCATTGGTCCCTTTGTCCTCTTGATTTCTTTCCTTGTTTTGTTCATCGCCATTGCCCTCGTCGTCCTCTTCACTGCCCTCTTCCTCATTGGTCCCTTTGTCCTCTTGATTTCTTTCCTTGTTTTGTTCATCGCCATTGCCCTCGTCGTCCTCTTCACTTCCCTCTTCCTCATTGGTCCCTTTGTCCTCTTGATTTATTTTCTTGTTTTGTTCATCGCCGTTGCCCTCGTTGTCCTCTTCACTTCCCTCTTCATTGCTTTCCTCGGTTGGCCTAGGAGATAGTTCCCAAGGTGTTGAGAATTTTTTGTAGTTAATCCTCAAGGACCTCATGATGTGATGGTTGCATTTGATGATGTAGCGTCAAGCTTCCTTTTCTCGATCGAGGCGGGAGAGAATGAGTGCATTTTGCTCCAGAATTTGGGCATTCTGCCGACCCAATTCCTCAAAATGGGAAATGTATCGGTCGGTGGATGGTCCGGCTTGAGTCGTAGTTTGGTGATGTTGTGCAGGTTGTTGCGGAGACTCTTCGACCATTTGCTGAACAACATGCTCCGATGCGTTTGCCTCATCTGTTGCAAGAGGTGGAGCAGGATGAGAGAGGCCAACAATGCCTACCACACCATTCTCCTTAACCACCAAACACAGACATAATCAATATCAGAAGCATTAGTTACATATGCTCAATGTTCAAAAGGAACTAGATTAGTAGGCAATCCAAAACTTGCACAAAATCAATCCTAGATTGTTTGAATCCCGACTAGTTCTGTTTTAGCATTCACTGTGAAAAGGAAAGTGTTGGTTGGAACATTTACCTTTGACAACAAATATAGATCCGCAAGGTTTTTTTGG